AAGAGTAGCTCAAGGGTGACGGTCAAGTCCCACTGTTCGGTCAGATAAGAGTAGATCAAGACTTTTCAGTATAGGTGAATGCTGTTGACTACCTGCCGTCCCTGTAGTCTGTTAGTTCACGTTAGACACAAATAACTTTTGTGTAGCCCGCGCAAAAGTTCTGAAAACAACAAAAACAAACAATCTAAAGATTTATAGGAGATATCTCAAGTTAACATGTATTTGTTAGTTAAAGAAAATAAGAACAACAAACAAACTAAAGATATATAGGAGATACCTCAAGTTAACTTGTGTTTGTGAGTTAAAGAAAACAACAACAAACAATCTAAAGATATATATGAGATAGATACCTCAAGTTAACTTGTGTTTGTGAGTTAAAGAAAACAACAACAAACAATCTAAATATATATATACGAGATAGATACCTCAAGTTAACTTGTGTTTGTGAGTTAAAATGCTTTTATAAAAATTATGTTCTTATAATATATCTATTTAACAGATTGTATAAGCTATGCATTTGATCAAAGTTTGTTTTAAATATTATACCTATAGTAGTGATTTAAATAATTCAACCTTTGCTCACATTACCCAGTATCTCTTATGCTTAAAGGTTTAATGATTCTAATTGTTAGATTCTTCTTTTCATACTAATTTGCGCATGGTTCTAGAAAAACTAATATATTTCGATTTTGTAACTAAAAATTTGATCTCGACAAACTTTGATATCAGAAGGTTAATTTTTCTAGTTGTTTTTTAAAAATTCGGTTAAATTAAGTAAAACTTGTATAAGAATTAGGTTGAATTAAGTAAAAACTTGTATACCCACAGCTTCTGTCTGACTTTATGTACAAAGCACCAAATGACTTATCTGTTAATCTGCATGCGAAGGCTGGTAATCCAACCTGGATGTATGTTTTCAATTACTTCGGCGAGAGGTCGCTCAGATCGGTTGTCAGTGAAAATGGAGTAACAACAACGGATTACGGTGAGTCCGATAGTAACAACAAAAAATTATAGTAAGTTTTATAGTAACAAAAGAGGATTATATTAACTTCTACAGTAATAATGGAGGATTATGGTGAGTTCGGTAATAATAATAGAGGATTATGGTGAGCTAGATAATAATAATAATAGAGGATTATGGTAAGTTCGGTAGTAATAATAAAGAATTATGGTGAGTTCTGTAGTAATAATAGAGGATTATGGTGAGTTCGGTAGTGATAATAGAAAATTATAGTGAGCTAGATAATAATAATAATAGAGGATTATGGTAAGTTTGGTAGTAATAATAAAGAATTATGGTGAGTTCTGTAGTAATAATAGAGGATTATGGTGAGTTCGGTAGTGATAATAGAAAATTATGGTGAGTTAGATAGTAATAATACAGGATTATGGTGAGTTCGGCAGTAATAATAAAGAATTATGGTGAGTTCTGTAGTAATAATAGAGGATTATGGTGAGTTCGGTGGTGATAATAGAAAATTATAGTGAGCTAGATAATAATAATAATAGAGGATTATGGTGAGTTCGGCAGTAATAATAAAGAATTATGGTGAGTTCGGTAGTAATAATAGACGATTATGGTGAGTTCTGTAGTAATAATAGAGGATTATGGTGAGTTCGGTAGTGATAATAGAAAATTGTGGTGAGTTAGATAGTAATAATAAAGAATTATGGTGAGTTCGGTAGTAATAATAGACGATTATGGTGAGTTCTGTAGTAATAATAGAGGATTATGGTGAGTTCGGTAGTGATAATAGAAAATTATGGTGAGTTAGATAATAATAATACAGGATTATGATGAGTCGGGCAGTAATAATAGACGATTATGGTGAGTTCTGTAGTAATAATAGAGGATTATGGTGAGTTCGGTAGTGATAATAGAAAGTGTGTGAGTTAGATAATAATAATACAGGATTATGGTGAGTCGGGCAGTAATAATAGACGATTATGGTGAGTTCGGTAGTAATAATAGACGATTATGATGAGTTCGGTAGTGATAATAGAGGATTATGGTGAGTTCGGTAGTAATAATAGAGGATTATGGTGAGTTAGATACTAATAATAATGCCCCGCAGTGGCACAGCGGTATGTCTGCG